GCCTCAATTATTGTCAAGTTGTCAAAGTGCGTTCTGTAGATGTCGTCCAGACACTTTACGGCCTTTGACTCGTTGTCCATGTCCACGCACTGAATAAAGTGAAGCGCCTGCTTTTCTGTAAGAAGAAAGGGAGTACAAAGTAACATGAGCTTCGCCTTTTGCGACGCGTTCGAGTTGCGGGGCAGACTAGGAGGCATTCCAGTCAGCTTCGCATATAGATAGACGAATAACGATGGGCGACAAACGATAAAGACAACAGAGGAGATTGGAGATGCGAGAACAATTCCTGGTCGTTTTAATCAGAATGAAAATTGAAAAGGTGAGCTGATTTATTTAATGACTGCGACACCACTGCCAAATGTCTGTCTCTCACCTGATCGGTGAAGAATGGTGCTCATGGCCAGGAGGGCGTTATGGCAGAGGTCCGGATAGTTGAGGAAGTTTTCCACCATGGTTAACAGAAGGTCACTGACGTCCAGGTTAGTAAGGGCATCCTCGGTTAGGGCACCTAAGAAGATGAAACGAGTAAGAGGGGGGAGGGAGCAATTGGAGCCGCTTACTTTCGCTGGCTAGGGCACAGATGCAGAGTGCTGCCTGATTCAAAATGCCAATGTGCTGCGGATAGGCTTTCATGGCATCAAAGACTGCCTCAAATGCGCCCTTTTCAATGAACATTTTAGCGTTTTTGCCTGCAAAAGAAGAAAAAGAAAAAGAATCCATGTGAGTTTACAAACCGTGAGAGGTTTCAGCGCAGGAAAGCAGTGACCTGTTGTTTTGCCTCTTAGTCTCGTGATGGCGACTACAATGGTGGCACCTACTGCAGTCGTAAGCTCTTCAGGGCGTGACCATTGACAGTAAAGTATGAATAGAAATGACAAATGAAATACAATTTGTCAATGAAACCTTTTCTATACTACTGATTTCCTGTTGGCAGGTTAACGAATATTACGCAGCCTTTCCGCTGGGACTGCCGGAATTCAGGCCACATATCCATAAGAACTTTCCACAGGACTGCTATTAGGGGTCCTATTAACCTTTGACTTATAGCAACAACCTACTTTTACAGTTTTAGTAACCTGACTTTCAACGTTTTTGCTTAAATTCCATCAACATAAGGTAGGCTTTCCCTTTTTCCGCCAATTTAAGGTTAAATTTCTCTCAGTAGGCATCAGTCACCTGAGCAGCAGGAGTTGATTTCATTCAGTACATTGAAATAGATATGAGTTTCTTTGACTTAAAATTTTTTTGATACCTTCCAGCACAATTAAATATTCGTTTACACTCGCTTACCACGAATTAAATGTTTAACCACAAATTTCGTAATTGGCAGGGGGAGTAGATATTTAGGCGGCTCTACAATACAGTTTTGAGTCTGCGCCTACAAAGCCTGACTTACTCCAAGCTAGCGATGCACTTTTGAGGAGATAAAAAAATAAACAATTTCAAAGCGGGAGTATCCCCCAGAAAATACACAGCGAATGCTAGGGGATCCATTGATGAACCGGATCCCCTAACAGTTGCGTCAGACAGCGGCAGAATGACGGCAGAACACCTGTCTGAGCATTTAGTTAGTATCTGTTCTATCAATACGGCCTACCATACAACCCCTACATACACTACTGGCTATTTGCTGGAAATTTAATTAATCGTACGTGGTTATCCTGTTTTGATTTATAGGATGTGGCCGAAATAATCACAATATCTTTCAGTCGCTTTCTCACCATTTTACTCAGGCGAAGGCCTTCGTGGTCCTCCCTATTATGCAAACTGCGACAATTTCCTCAGCGTCCGCACTTTGCGACCATAGTCTACGCGGCACCTAAACGTTCTCCTTTGTGTCGACCCGCAATGGTATGTCGATTACCTGGATGGGTAATTCGGTTTTCGCTCCCTGGTCGCTGGACTCTGCAATCAGCAAAAGAGTACCTGGGCGCATCTTTCACACTTCGGTGACCATCTCCGTGAACTATACGATTCCCTCCACCGTCTCTACTTAGCATACTGCCCTCCCATGAGCGGCAGATTTTTTTCTCCCAAAAATGCCAAATATGTTTTTTTCACTGTCTGCTCTTTTCTTCCTCGTTCTACTTAATTGTCTCGTGTCATTTGGTATCGCCAATAAGGTAAGGTACTAGGGATGCAGCAGGGTAGTTAAGATAAAAGACCGATTGAACCCCAATGAACAATCTGGGTTAGTGTATCGCATCCCTTGCTCAAGCCGTGCTTGTAACTACACAGGGTAAACTGAACGCATGCTCAGTTCGCGCATACATGAACATAAACGTGCGGTAGGACTAGGCGACGAATTGTCACAAGTTGCAGCTCATACCTATGCGACGGGCCATCAGTTAAACTTTGCGGCCGTCAAGGTACTCGCCCACGCCGGAAACAAGACAAGTCGGGAATTGATTTGAAGTCTGGTCCACGGATGAGAATTCAATCAATCGATGTGTCGAGTTGGCGCCGGCGTACAGAACCTTGCGCAGTCACGGCCAGATGTCCGTCACAGTTAATGGGCCCAAGTCTTCTATAATTAGCCCAATTTTCGTTTCTGACGCTCTGACGAACGTTGAGATCACTGAAAACTAATTAACTTAAACCCCTACAGGTTCCCCCTCTTCTCCTTTTTAATCGTTGCGTCTTACCCCCTTACGACCCGACGACCCCTGACAGCTGATTGGTGTACATCCGTTATAATTACCCCTTTTTGCTACTGTTTCTTATCTCTGACGCTGGACTTCTTTAAGAGTTCGAAAGCTCAGGACAATAAACAAATTGATCCAATGCTCGCCAACCCTTTTTCCTCATCTACGCAAATACCTGGAACGCGAACGTTTTCATTCACTCATGAGGTACCATCTTTTTTAATAACACAACATACATGTACATTTATAGTAAGTTCAAAGGTACACATATGCATTTGCCTCAAATAAAGTGAACTGAATTGGAAAAGGTCTACGCCTATCAGGCCTCAAATACACTAATTTACTTCAAGTTAACGGATTAGTGTCTGCAGAAATTAAAAATAAACAGACGGCAACCTGCTATTATACCCTTGATCGCATTCTGACGATTAAAATGGACTAATTAACGCAGCCATAAGCTTTAAAGAGTGCACGAATGGACGGTGAAGTATGAATTGGAATGTTATAAAAATGAAAGAAAACATTCATAGAACGTGAGGATAGAATAGAAGTCAGAAAACAGAATACTCACGGTCAACACTCAGCTTCCACAACACAGCCAGCGCAGGCCTCAACAACTCCGAAATACCCTCTCGTACCTTCCGTAGGGCACCCAGAATGAGATCAACAAAACCCATCTCACAGAGCTTTTGGCACAACTTTCCATGCTTCTCCCAGAAGGCATTCTCCACCTTGACCTGGAAGCTGATGTGCCCGGGCGGACAGAAGACAGCATCCAGCAGGGCAAATCCATTGCCCAACACCTGGTCGATTGTGGCGTGCTTCGCGATGAGGTCATATATCATCTGGAAGGTTTTTGCATTCCAGAAGGTGCTGTTGTCTATCAGGGTCTCCAGGAATCTGGTCTCGTTGGGTCCCATAGAGGCGGTCGACTTGGCCTCCTCCAAGTGCATCTTGCCCACTACTGTGCAGTGTGCCAGGATGGCCAGCGCATGTTCCGCCACCAGGCTGTTCT